TTTCTCCAGCCTGAACAGCCCCAGCTCCCTCAGCTGCTCCTCATCAGACTTGTGCTCCAGACCCTTCCCCAGCTCCACTGCCCTTCTCTGGACTCGCTCCAGCCCCTCAATGTCTTTCTTGTTGTGAGGGGCCCAAAACTGAGCCCAGGATTTGAGGTGTGGCCTCACCAGTGCCCAGTGCAGGGTGACAGTCACTGCCCTGGTCCTGCTGGTCACACTATTGCTGATACAGGCCAGGATGCCACTGGCCTTCTTGGCCACCTGGGCACGCACTGCTGGCTCAAGTGGTACTTGAGTAACACTCTCTTTTTGTAGTGAGATGACACCAGATTACATAGGAAGTTAAAACATCTTTAAAAAAAACAGAAAAAAGAAAGGAAAGACAATACAAACACAGCAGTAGCTGCTCTCTGCACTGTCTGCTCCGGGCCAGCCACACATTGCTTTATTCTCCTATACCTTGGCTTCTGACCCCACCAGAATGCTCTGGTTTGCATCCACACGAGCTGTGTAGGGATCAGTGTGGCCTTTCCTCTCTGAGGTTCCTGGCTGTGGTACATGTGGAAACCCGGGATCGACAAGAAGCTGCGCAGGAGCTTCACTCGCCCGGCGTGTGGAAAAAACGTTAAGAACTTGAGGAGTTTTATATTTTGCAAACAAAAGGAAGTTCATTTCCTCTGTTAGCTCACCATAACATTATGTGCAAAAACACGCCTGGAGCTCTTGAAATACCTTTACTTATTTCTGCATCTACCAAATTTATTTATAGAGCCATCTGGAAAACGCTGGCTCTTCGTTTACAAGATACTATGGAGCTTTTTGGAATTGTTTCATCAACAAAACTCTAAAAACACCCACACCTACAGAAATTGTCAACAATAATCAAGTCTCAGGCCTTGTTTTTGTTGTATTTAAAGACTATTGACAGGACAGTTAAGACTGTCATATTAATGCATAAATAGATAGTTCTCCATTTGCTAACTTTGACGTGTTAATAAATCTAGGAAATATGTCTAATAACAAATCAGCAAATGGGTCTAATACACATCACTGTAAGAAACCACAAATACTTCAGCTATGTCTCATTTAAATGCAGTCTTGGGGCATTCTAAGTTTAAAAATTAAATGGGAGCAAATTCTTCTATGAAATCCAATAAACCTGCAGACTGAGAACATCTGGAGCAAAAGTAAGGTGAAAACTGGGAAACAGGAGTGTCCTGGATGGCAGGTGGGCACATAAAGGGAAGAGCAGCTCTCACCCCCTGCACATGGCACTGAGTTAGCTCGAAACAACCAAGTTACAGCTCCCTCACTGTCTAGGCATCCTGGCAGTAAACCACAACAGAAATGTTAAAATAATAACACTATTAAAAATAAATAAGGATTTGGGCCTATTTTAGCCAAGATGTTTTAACAAAATGCCACTATTCATTCCTTGGCATGTGGTGGGATGCCTGTGTGCTCCTGTTCTTACATTCCTGAATTGCCTTCATACTTTCTCCTATTTGCAACAGTTAGGATTCAATAAATTCAACCCAACTATAAGAATTAGTTCCAACAATCATTTGATCTACTTGTGGCTCCAATACCATACACATCTAGAAGGCTACACAAGCTCTTTACTCCTGCCATGTTATCAGTCTGCTGTCTGGAGGAATCCCTTCTGACCCACACAGCACTATGTGTCTTCATTTAGCAAAATAAGATTGTTTTATAAATGCTGATTTTTTTTTTATTAGGCTGTCCAGTACTGGCTTCAGCTAGACTGATTTTTGGGGTGTGAAGCTCAAACACCATCCTACTTGATCCAAGGAACATCCATCCCCCTATTTCTCCTGATCCCTCGTGCATCAGTCCTAAATTGAGACAGTTCACCAAGATCATTGTTACAGAGAACCCTTGAGCCTTTCTTCTTCAAATTATCCCCAAATTACTGTTAGAAAACACCGCACTCTGCATTCTCTAGATGGCTGAGTAAAAATCTGTTAAAGCAATGTTTGAGATCTCCACCAGCAAAGTGTATCAGCCTCTATTTTTTCAAGACATGGTGATCAGCTCACGTACCAACTATTACCCTCCACAGTGCTCTGGTGAGTATTGAAGCTTTGCAGCGCTGGGAGATACCAAAAACATCTTAAATTGTTTAAACACAAACATAGGAACATCTTTCAGAGGCAAGAGCAGCTGGACAGTAGCTGCCAGAGCACCAACAGACCCACAACATCCAGACCAGGGTCTGCACTCTTTCCTCCCCCGTGTCTGATGTGATAAGCAGAAACAAAAGCACATAAAGAAATTAATTTTTCTTTCTAAGACAAGAACATGAAACTCTCAATGCAAACTTTACATCCAGCAGCAGGGAACAGTTTTTGGCAGCCATAATTACAGTTTAAGGCAGTGTTACAAACACTTAATCAGTTCTGTTTACCTTTCTGTTTTCATCCTTCATATATCCACAGTGCAGAAATCAAAGACATAAATCAGAACCACTGGGCTGGGTTTATGGACATTCATCTCCAGAAGTCCCAGTAAAAGTTAAGGGAGTCACTTCCAGCTATTTGACCTGCTGTGTGTGTATTCAGTGGTTTTTATCTGGACCTGAAGCAGTGAGAATTGGCATACATTGTACTCACAGGTACTCAACTCCATTAGTAATCACAAATTCCTGTATTAAAAACATCCAGAAAAGTGGACTCTGGGTCTGAGTTTGTGCTTCAGCTTTAGTCCAATATACTCACCAAATCAATATCAAATATATTACCTGGGACGCAACAGTCCTTTTGTGTATTTTGAGTTCCCTGGACCTTCTTTCTTCATCACTTTTAGTAGACTTCTCAAAATGATCATTTTAAATTAGCACTGAGAACTCTCCTGAGCTCCTCCCAGCATTTCTCACTGCCAGTTCTGAGTTCCTGTGGCAACAGGCTGCTCGACTACCACCTTTATGGGATTGGAGCACCATCAAATCTTTAGTCAGAGCACGAGAGAATAAGACTGAAATTGATATCGAAAATGTGATCTATTCCCATAAAGATAGTGGTGCCAAGATTGCAGGAGGAGTATATAGAATAGTATTTTCTGACATTCTATTTCCAGAAAAGTAGAAAACTTTCAAAGTACAGATTTCAAAGTATCCAAAGGCATGAGGAGGAAGACTGGAAGAAACACACGTGTTGAAATGCCAGCCGGACAGAACAGCCTGACAGCAAGCTGAGGCCACGCAGACAGTGGGAGTAACTGAGGGCAACCCCACTCCCATTAGCCAACATGCCTGTGCCAGTCACAAAATGGCATAGAAAAAAGGAAACAGAAACCAAGAAGTTATCAAAGATCCTCAGAATTGGTCGATAGGTTATCTGCAAATAACTCTGATAAGGAACCAAGGAACAGAGTGGTGTATAAACACCTAACAGCAGCAATTCACAGACTGAACTGCTACCTTTAGCTGTCATCTCCACACTCACTCCTGCCTTCCTTTTTTTCATGGCGCTTGGAATCCCCAAATCCATCAGTTCCTGCAGGGCAGAGGGAGCAGCACTGGCTGAACCAAAGACTGTCCTCACTGCTCACAGAAGTTAAGAACAGCCAGCCCCTGCAAGCGAACACCTTCTGCCTCTTACACGCTTCACTGCCAAATTGTTCATCTCACAGACAAACAGGAACTGGCTTTTATGCTTGAAGGGTGTTTATGTCTTGCATAATTTATTTGAGGTCCTGTCCTGCTTACAACAAGCTCAAGAATAAGCCCTTACATATATTTCAAAAGGTAGAGGGTCCAGCTCCTCGTCGAGGAGCTTCCTTGGACAGATGCCCTGTCAGAGGGTCAGCAGGAGCCAACCTCCCTTTTTTTCTTCTCTCTCTCTGGTTTTCACCCTCCATTTGGTGTGATAAGAACTGCAGAGTCCAGCAGCCCATGGACAGGACAGGAGAGCTCCCAGACAAAAGGGAAAGGACTCATCCCCCTCCAGAAAAGCAGGTACCATGACACAACTCACTACTATCCCCCCCCCCAAAAAAAGACCAAGAAACCAAATAACAGAAGACCATTTTGAAGGGGTGGAGAGAAGTAATTCCAAATTAACCATAACAAATGCAGATGAGCTTTAGGAGGTGGGCAAAGGTGTCAGTTCTTTCAGGAGTACAAAAGCTTTGCTGATTAACTGACACTGCAATTAACTGTGTCCATACCCAACCCCCATGGCTGGGCTCCATCCTGACAGAAGGGTGGCTCACCCCAAAACACAGATATTTAAGGATACGTGTCAAGAAGCTCTTTTCAGCAACAGGACAAGAGGCAACAGGCAGAAACTAATGCACAAGAAGTTCCATCTGAACATGAGGAAAAACTTCTTTACTGTGAGAGTGGCAAAGCACTGGAACACACTGCCCAGAGAGGCTGTGGAATCTCCTTCCCTGGAGATATTCAAACCCTGCTCGAGCAGGGGGTTGGCCCAGATGATCTCTGGAGGTCCCTTCCAAACCCAACCAGTCTGTTAAGTCTGGAAAACACAAGATGCAGCTACAGGAGTGTGCAGGTGCTGAGTCAGCACTTCCCATGACAAAACTCATTGCTTCAAACAACACCCTGACCTACAGATCCACATCAGGTCACTGACAAAGCTGTCATTCCGAACTGAGCACAAAGCTTGCACTTCATGGCTTTAAAATGTTTTACTGTATCAGCATCTTTGCTAAGGGATATTTTAATGTGGATACGCAGTTTGAATACATAGGACACGTGCCATATACAATCTGTCCACAAAATAGCTTTTAACTGGCTAAACAAATTTCACCTAGAAACGAATTCACACCTTTAGATTTGTCAAATAATTTCCACTGCAACCCCACAGTGTGGGTAAAATCATCCACTCAAATTAATTCCTAAAGTTACCCACCAACTATGGAATGTTATCGTGATACATCATCTACTTGAACAACAGCAACTGTGAATGTGCAAGTACTGGATTTTAATCATAAAGAAAAGAAACAGAAACAAAGAGTAAATTTAATAATGTGCCAAATGCAAATAAGTTTATTTTCATGTGTTCAGAGCAGGATAATCTCCTGCTACTCAAATATATCGTACAACGGGTTTACTATCAACTCAGAATAAAGATGGACACTGTTTTCTGCATTTAAGTAGTCTGTCTGGATTTTTGCTTCTCATTTACTGGAAAAGAAATCTGATCCTGCTTCCGGAATTAAAGCTTCCCCTGGGGTTAAACAATTCACACAGTGATGATTTCCGAATGCTACTTGCACATAGTTTCAATTACGTAAGTTTTATAAAGGTCAGGTCTGGAGTCCTGCAAGGCCTTTGACACAGTCCCCCACATCAACTTTCTCTGAATTGGACAGATATGGATTTGATGGATGGACTGTTCAACAGGTCAGGAATTGGTTAGATTGTCACATCCAGAGGGTAGTGGTCAGCAATTCAGTGTCCAGAGGTCAGTGGGGTCCCTCAGGAGTCTGTAATGGGACCAGTACTGGTTAGTAACTTCAATAATGATATCAAATGCACCCTCAGCGAGTCTGCAGGTGACACCAAGCTGAGTGATGCAGTTGACACTCCTGGAGGACGAGATGCCACTCAGAGAGACCTGGGCAAGCTCCAGATGGGAATCTTGTGGCATTCAACAAGGCCAAGTGCAAGGTGCTGCACCATTCTCTGATTCCATGATTTTAAGTTTCTTAAAAATGCTGAAGCCAACTTACAGACATCAAAATAATAAGAGATTAAATACAGCCAGACAAGTTAACCTGCCTAACTTCAAGTGTATTATTATTATTTATGTGATCACATATGGATTCTGCCAGTGCTCTGTGGTTTATGAAACAGTGTTTGCAGCTTACAGAACCAAGCAATGCTGATCACTTGTTCACATGTGGTTTCCATCTATGTTTATTTTATGGGTATTAACCTGAAACTGAGTCAACACAGAAGAAAAACAACAAAATCAAGTATTTTCAGAGGCAACACAACCCTGAGTCTCGTGAGAGCTGCTGTGCTCTGGCAGAATTTTAAGATACATACACGTGTTTTACCCCTTCTGTTGCTATTTCCGTTGTGCACATAAAAGGGAGAAATCAGCTTCACAGGGAAAATCACGACTTTAACTGTCACTGATACAGAACAAATCGATACCCACCTAATTCAGAAACAAGGTAACAGATAGGGCTGCATACTGCAAACTTTGGTAAGGGAACTCCCATCTCTGCTGTTTTAGTTCAGAGACAGCTGGCAGAGCACAACTGAATTTCACTCAACAGACACTTGAAAGCAAGTGGAGACCACCACAAGCTCCCTCTCTGTGCATTTCTCTATCTGAACACAAAACTGCCTTCAAGAAATCAAGCGTCAAACAGATCCAATGACTCGACTCCACTGTGTCAAGATACCAGGGAAAGAGTGGATAAACATCTAAAAAGTAATTTGTATATTGTACCTGCAATGAAACAGGTCTCAGAATCATCCTTTGGTTCCCCACCCCCAACTTGGTACCGAACCAATTCAGGCCCGTGAGGGCATTACAGTGAAGCAGAGGAGTCTGAAGCTTCTGGTCCACTCAGTTACAGAACTGTGTGTTCCACAGAAACAGCCAGTGACCTGTCAAGAGTAAATCTGGAGAGGGCACATGATCCAAGTGTATTGTAGTCCTGAGACTTGCTGCCCACCTTGTCTCAAAATAGCACAAACTCATCTGAAAGGCATTTGAAAAGATGTGGATGTTGGGGGTAACTTGAATTTACAAAAGTAATAGGAAAAAAAAAAGGTTTAGAGAAATGTGATTTTTAAATTGAAGCTGCACTTTTAAATAACCAGCAGTAACAAAAACAAGTGACTCATCTTAATTATCACCAATGGGCAAAGCCAAAACAACAATGGATTCACAGTTGTGGCTAAAGGACCTTAACAGTTTGTGAAACACTGTGTGGAAACCCAATACTTGTGGTTGAAAAGGCTTCACTTCCACAGATGATTAAGGCATCTTCAGCACAGCTGTAACCATACACCAGAGGTATCTTCTGTACCTCAGAAACCATTTCTGAACTCCAGGACAACATTCCCACTTAGCATGTGATACCAGCTTATTTCAAAAGTCAGGATTTGGGATTTAAGCACCACTGGTATAATTACACCTGTCGATGTCTTTAACCCACCAAAGATCTCCCCAGTCTTCCAGGTGCACTTACCATGACAGAATGAAGCTGCTTACAAGATTATTGGGTATTTTCATGCAGGAAACATGCCCTAAATAATGCCAGTTTAATAGTTCTCATACACATACAAATTAGCTGTTTGGAATCATGTGCTCCTCTTTGGTTGAATACATTCATATCTGCTATGAAAAATATGGCTCTATAAACTCCTTCCTTATGAGCTCGTTCTAAACCAGTGATGTGACAGTGCAAAACTACTTATTTTCTGTTTCATCAATAAGTAATTCCCTCAAGCATTAAGATGTGACATAAAATCTTTTACTAAATTGAGCAATTTCATTATGTTTCCTGTAAAGGAAGCAAAATACAGCATGAAATACAAAAGCTTTTTAAGTGTGCCAGGGAATTTCACTGGGAAGGTAACAAACTTTGCAAGCCACAGGCCTATATTACACATTTAAAACATTGCCTGAGACGTTAATTAACCAGAGAAACAGTTTTACATAATATGATTTAACATCTGTTGTTGGAGAACTCAAGAGCAGACGTTTACTCTTTTCTGATTAACATTAGCAACTTTAAAAAAATAAGAGACATTCTTCTGATGACTGAAATACATTCCCGGGGGAATTCAAGCACCATAGTTCTTTCCACAGAATACCTCCAAATAAAGCACAGCCAAGCATTGCCTGAGAGATGAAACACCAGAACTCGACACAGCAGAGATTCCCACTTCCAGCATTTTACTTTTTCCTGCTTTTGAGGGAGCTGTTGTGAACTCTCACTCTCTTCTGCACGGAAGAAGCAATCTTCAGAGATGCCTTCTTTGTGAGGGACCTTTCCACAGCTCCGGGTTTCCATAGCAACAGCTGAGCATCCTCTCCACCCGTCAGCAGAGACTCATCCGCCAGGTTCCAGCAGAAGGAGCGAACGGTGGCAGAGTGGCCCCCGCTGAGGGTCCCCACCAGGCTCAGCCCATCGGTGCCACAGCTGATCAGGTGGATGTTTCCTGTGGAGGTTCCCCCAATAAGGAAGAGTTTCTCTGCCTTTTCGTGGTACAAGCCCCCCACCATGTAGTGCAGGCTCTGGTTTTCAGCGCAGACCGAGTCTCTGACATCCAGGACATGCAACAGTGTTATTGGTTCCTCGGTGTCCAGCTGAGCCGTGTCCCACCAGCAGAATCCCTCATCATGTGTCAGGCAGTAGACCTGTTTATAATCTTTCCCAGACCAGCCAATAAAACTCACTGATGAATCTGAATTGCAAGTTGATATCAAAGCATCATCTTCGTTATCCTTGTTGATGTCGAACACATTGACCAATCCATCGGTTGACCCAGAAACTACCAAATTGGGTTCAACAGGATGAAAACAGATTTTAGTGATGTCATCATTGTGACTTTCAGAATAGACTCCCAAGGGTTCCTTAGCTGAGCTGGCACAGTCTGTAATGCCTCTTGCATCCCAAAACACCAGAAACGTGTCCTGCTCAACTTTTTCTGTCCCAGCACAAACGATGAGATCACTGCAATTGATATCAAAACTGATGAAAACGTTGGAAGGATATCCACTGAATACCTGCACAGGTTTCTGAGTGGCTGAACGAACATCCCAGCATTTCACTGTGCCGTCACTGCAGGCTGAGAACACCGCGCTGTCACACGCGCGTGCGAATCTGACCCCACTGAGTATCCCGGGATGGCTGTTGTACTCCCTCAGGAAGTGTAATGTTTCCCTGTTGTACACCCTAATGGACTTATTGGAACAGGAAACTGCCACAAAGCGACTGTTTTCAGACTGAGCAGGTCTGGAAAGGTCGATGTCCAGCAGGTAAGCAGGTTCCTGGCTCGGCGCAGAGCGCTTGGCTATGCGCAGACTCGCGAGCTGCTCCTCAACCTTCTCCACTGCAGCCATCTCAAAGGCTGTTCCCAACCTTGCCAGAAACCTGGAATAAATAAAATCCAAGGAGAGTTTTAATTATAATGTTCTGAACTAGTATTAGCTTTAAAAGTACGTATGAAAAAGGGTCTCCCGCAGAAGTGATGAGTGAAGCCAAAATTCAATTGCCCTCATGTCCTTCCCCACCACAACTTCATTCACAGGAACAGAGAACAGGAAAGGGCTCCCTGAGTTAAGGAGTTCAGTCTCTCGTGTCTGTAAGCACTACACCAGATAATCCCCTTAACAGATTAAACAGCCTATCTGTGAATCCTAGGAGAGTCACTTAGCTAAATTTGCCTTATTATTTTTATAAAGTAACGTGATGTTCTCCACAATTGGGAACAAAATGAAGTCATCACCACTACCTGAAGAGGAATAAGTTTTGTTCTAGGAAGCAGAGCCCACAAATAGCTGCATCAGTACAGCTGCAGGAGAGTTCTTAAGTGAACTTCTGTGCTGAGGGACGTGCACAGGGGAGGCAGAGAACAAGACCAAAATTACACAGAACTACAGCCTGAAATGGTTTGATGAGATAATTTTGCAAGTATTTAGGTGCCCAATGACGCACAGAAACACCTGTCAGCATATCAGGGACCACCTAAACAGGCTACGTGACATCAGTGGAATTCACTGCAATTATCTTTGCCTCTTTCATCAATTCTCCCAAGAACCTCAATGTTTTCTGAGCCTCCTATAAAACCACATAACACTGGCTTTTAGTGCAGCTGATAAAAATCTTCTCTTCAGAGGCAATTCTTCTCTAGCACTACTGAACCCTCCTAGAAACCCAAACTATTTCAGCCATGCACATAAGTGCAAAACTTTACCAAGCAAAGCCAACATTAAACAATATGCTCTTGATCCTCTCACACATTGATTCACTTCTAAAATATGCCCTAACAAAAAAATAAAAAAAAAGTGCTCCTTTCTGTAACACAAAGGAAAATTCAATTCTGTAATTTCAGTAAAGGTTTCCATCAAGTCAGAGTCAGAAAAAGCATTGAAGTATTTAAATTTTAAAGAGATATTTGCTACCACGAACAATACATGGTTTTAGTGAGTTCACAAACTACAACCATTTTTTAAAGGAAGACGTAGGTGGGGTATGTTAAGCACAGCCATCCAAGAGTGACTTCTGTTAAAATCACAGGTTCAATTAGACCACTCTTCTGTGTTTAAAAAAAGATCAAAACTCAAATATTGAGGGAATCACAGCAGGTTCTAAGGGGTCAACACTCCAGTGACTTCTCACTGGTACCAATATTTCTTTAAGGACTGGGCCAGCAGCCAATCCCAGTTACTACAAGCATGAAATGACCCTTTTGGAGAAAAAATCCAAACAGAAATGGTGTAAAAATCAGGAAGACCCAGAACGCAAGAAAATATTCTCATGCCTTCCCAGCTGTCCTATCATCAATTTTTCTGCAAATTCTTCAGGCTGGAGTTTTAGGGGTGGAATGTGCAAGTTTCCATGCATTACTTGTTTTAGTAGTAATTATTTTAATTGTCCATGAGAGACTAAAAACAAAGGAAAAGTTGCTATGACAAAATTGCATTCTGGTTTGTTTTTTTTTTCTCCTTGGTGTTGTTTGTAGTCTCAGGCTTTGCTTTCCCTCCTCCTGTTTGGTGCTCACAAATATTCATGACACCATGTGACAGACGAGCAAATTCTTAAGAAACAGCTTAAGTAGGCACACATAAAAACTTAATTCCCAAGTCACAAATAATCTCACTAAGCGATTTGCCTCGGTAATATCCTGACAATGAGGTCCCCAGGTTAATCTCCTACATCAAAGCAACCTTTCAGAGCACATCTACAAGTCGTTTTTGCCACAAAAAGCAGACATCCTGTGGAAACTCCTTTCCCCTCTGAAGACAAGAAGTTCAACATGTTTTCTGGCATTACCCTGTGTACAGCCTACCCACAGAGCTTGCTCCTTCCTTACTTTCCTGGGTATGTCCTCAAATGAAACAAGATTTTACTAGAACTATTACACAAAGCCAACTGTTCTCAAACGCCGTTGCTACACTGCTTAAACACAAAACTGTTAAAATCCCATGCAAATTAATAATATAACTTTTAGAAATAAAACATTTTAATGTCATTAAGAAGGAAAACTTCTACTTAATCCAATTTACTGAAGAATTACAATGGAAGCTTCAATTTAAATACAGTTTCAAACACACATGGTTGAGGGTGGAGAAAGGAGTTTTTGTAAAACAGCTTTCCTGTAGAGCTATGGTGACTAAAAAAAACAGGTTCTCTCTGTAAACTTTTTGTAAGAAAAATGTAGTTTTCCAAGCTGACCTGAATTTTAAGCTCTAAATATTCAGGCTTTTTCTACTCAAAAGGCCAAGTAAACTCAAACAGACATGTTCCTGACAAATGTCATCCATTTGGAAAGCGAGCTGCAGTTGTTTAAATATTACTGACTTTGATAGAGAATATCATTCAATGAGCAGTTTCTGCAACAGTCATGTCAGAGCTTTTACTGCTGGGGAGGACAAGGGAACTCTACAAGTACCCAGAAGTTCATTCAGATTTAATAATATTTTTTGAGATATAAAATTAGCCCAAGACAGCTCTTAAGCTTTTACCCCAATTGACATAAGCACAGCTATTCTGAAATACCAAAAAAAGCTGTTCATGTTTTCAGACAGAAGTGCAATTTCTATCATCAGGAAGCTAGAGGGTTCAGTTTTCAATTCTATTTCCACTGCAACAACTAAGAAGCCTTAAAACTGCATTTGATGACAGCCAGGTTTTTGCTAAAAACTCGGTAAAATGTCTGCCCTAGTAAGAAAGTCTTCAGACTATTATGAAATTGTGATTGAAGGTTATATAAACAATCCATGCTCAAACTTCAGGGTGTAGCTGCCAGCCCTTCCTTTTCAGAAGGGGAAGTCACTGTTGTATTTTGATGGGAATGTTTAAATGGCAGGAATAGGATCTGTGTTAAATTTATGAGACAAATAGGAAACAATGGTCTTCCAAACACAATAGAAGATAACTAAGCATTGGACTGCAGCCACCTACAAAGCACATGGTCCTCTGCACTGAAGCACTTTTAGTTTAGCACTCCTTAAGTTCAACAACAGTTATCTGTTTTGTTCCTGCCACAAAGAATCCTTTGGCAAAGTCAGTGTCTTTGAAACCTGACATATTGTGGATACAGCACAACAGCCAGTTGTGACGATCTGTGAGGAAAACTGCTCTTGCTAACGTGACAAACTCTAACACAAAGGCTCTGCAGGGCACACAAGTCTGTGGCTGAAGGTGTCTGGCTATGGCCAGTCACTTGTGTTTGGAAGAGGGGTCATCACCCATCCTTGGTCATCACCATTCCTCAGATGGAACAGCTGCACCTTTCAGCTGCATCCACACCTGCACCCCCTGAGCAAGACAAAGTCACATCTTACAAATTAACCCTGAAACTTCTGTGTCACTGTATCTAGTCCTCTGGTACTACCCTCGTGTGATCTGCTCTATGAATCAACTTCACAGTTATTTGCAACCCCTGCACATTCTCCTGGATATCACAACTACCAGAAAAGCTTCTTGAAGGACACTCAAAACTCATTACATCTTGGGAACTCAGAATAAATACAGTTGTCTGAAATAACCTAAAATATTTTGACCTCCAGGGCATCCTACAAGGCTCCTCTAAAAAAGAAATAAGCTCAATGTTTAGAACAGAAGGCACGAAGTGGAAGTGATGCCAAAGAGGCAGGACAGGATTTTCAGATGCTTTTGTTATGTGTTTCTCACTGGTGGAGTGTGGAAACAACCACACAGCCAAACTAGAAGCAAACTGTTTTGCTGAAAGTAGCTCTTTCCAATGATGGAGGAATGAAAAGCAAGCACCTATCTGCACAAACTAAACATTTAACAGTGTCCCAGCACATACTGCTGTGCTGTTTGTGCAGCCTCAGTTCAAGCCAACAAGCTTGAGTCTTCTTCTAATCCAGAAAGTTTTTCAAAAGATAAACCAGGAACTCAGAAGTTATTTTCCTTCTCCTTTTAGTGGTGTACAGAAGATGCTGCCAAATTGCACAGTTCTCCTTTCCAAAAGGGAATGTTAGCTCAAAAACATACAGAAATATAAATTTACCTTTGAAAAATACAACGGAAAATGCGGAGAAATGGCACTTTCTCAAAGATTTAATCAGCAACGTAAGAGTAACTTACGAGTAGGAGGGCAGAAACACGTAATAAAAATGAAAACAACCTGTAGTTTTGGCAATCCTCTCTGAAGAGGTCAAACACCAAAAATAGCAAAGGATCTGAACAGCAGTAGATGAAATCTTGCACTGTTCTTTCCTACTATAAACGATACAAACAGACCCTCCCTTTATTTTCACAACTATTACACGTTCGAGAACAGAGACTAAGAACAGAGACCCGGAGCTCTGGGCAGTGGGAAGCAGCTCATGCACGCAAACATGACATGTGGTTTGCATTTGAGAGCAGAGCTGCCAAGGCGGGGTTGGCCGAGGAGAACACATTAGTGCTCCGCTCTCCACTAATGCAGGAGCCTGCGGAGACCTCTCCGCGCTGGCACCACTTCCCAGCACAAGATGGATCAGCAAACGACCTGAGCACTGAGGGGAGGAACAGAGCACCCCTCAGGAATGCTTAATTTCTCCAGGATGCACACTCCCATAGCTGGTTGTGTTGTTTTACCAAAGCAGAGAGATAAGGTGTTTTTCCAGCGTTCCCACAAAGCCATTTTTGAGGCAGAGGGAAGAGCATTCAGTCATTGGGCAGGAAGGGAATAAGATGCACGAGAGGCTACGCTAAAGTGCAGAGACAAGATGTAACTGCCAAGAGAATTATTTCATCCTCTCAAATCAGCTACATCTCGTTTCCAAATGTAAAGCACAGCAAGAAAGAAACTCCATGTAATCCTTCATTTGCAGCACAGAGAAAATTATATCAGGAGAGCAGAAAGGAGGAAAGAGATAAAACAGTGCAGCAACAAAGTCTATGGGAAGATCAAAAAA